ATGACTGCTGCAGACAATGGCAAATTTTCAACACCGCCCTGCTTCCTAATTGTTTTCGTTTCAATATGGCTGCTGACTTGACATTAGAGCCTCGTTTTCGAAACAGACTATAGTCTATTTCCAATATATGGTGAATACAATATTGACAGACCTGCCAGAAATACAAATAAAAAAGATAAATAAAAAAGTAATGTTACAAAAAGAAGACATTATTATTCAACGTTAACTTGGAATCTCTGTGAGACGGGCTTTAACCACTACTGCTACTTGCATGCCTGTTAAAACTGCAATTTAAAGCAGCATGCCTCCAGATTCATGCTCACTTATATATAAGCCGTTTTGAAAAAATTTCATATTTCAACATCTACACGTGTATTATTATAGATGTTGAAATATGAATTTTTTTCAAAACGGCTTATATTAAGTTTTTTTGATATATATGATCAGTACATGTGCTGGGATTGACAAATATGCATTTTATTTGGATTTTAAAAGCGTTTTGAGCTCCAAACCCCAAGTGTCTGTGATTTTTCACTGCAGTTGTAACTTAAATTAAAAATATACAGGTCATTTTAAGGCAGTAAAACATATTTTCCGCCTTTTCACCTATGTCTTGCCGAACGTATTTCTCCAAAGATAATAAACAGAAAAATCAGTGTTTTTTTATGAATATATATGAGTCTATTTTCGCAATTATAAAATTTCACTCGCGGCTACCGCCACTCGTCCCTTATTCATAGAAAATTCTTGAATATCTTCTTTATATCGTCGCGTGAGTGGAGCGTTGCTCTAACTACCATTTTTGTATTTTCTGATCGTAAGATCCAACAGCTAACATCCACGGTCTAACACAAAATTTCCTCACAGTCCTAACAACGCAAAGTAGTTCTCACTCAAAACTGCTTAAGAACCAGCAATTTAAAAGAAAGAATAATTTTTAATGTAGACATTTAACGAATTACAGTGCATTAAAAGTTTAGATTAGTCAATAGAAATATGAGGTTACAATTACAAATTTCGCGGATGAATATCTTTTTTACCCAATGAAAAATGTTCGGCTATTTCCGTAAAGCTTCGGATTATCATGAATATCATTTTAATCAATGAAAATGCTATTTTTAGCTATGTCGATTACCGAATACTCCAGAGCGTAGTACACAAATAAATCTGACCGTCGAGTAGTGGAATATATACATGTCGGACTGTTTTGGTGAGAAGATTTTCGCTAAATTATTTTCATCAGTTTAAACAACAGGTTTATCGTGAACAAAATACCTCGAAATTAATAAGGATTGCAAACACGAAATGGAAATTCTCAATTTAGAATTACATAATGTATTCGTTTTTATTCAAGGTACATATGCATTACTTCGCCGTGGTGCAGAGGTAAGCGGTCTCGTTGAGGGTGTGAGAGGCCTATGGTTGGCAATTCTATTTTTTTTTTCATGCAAAATTCCATATGTATCAATCTCAAACTGTTATAGAAGAAAATCAAAACGCTGTCGCTGCGTAAGATGAATTATAGTATATAAAAATAAACTTATACAGGAAAGTACATACAGATAGTCAGTATGATTTAGATTGCAAAGATCAGAAAATACCATAGAGCTGCAGCCCTTTGATTCTAATTGTTGAGGATCCCGACGGACAGTTTGCTCATTGTCGGGGAAAACATATAATGTTCGTGGGAACGAATTTTTGAAAATATAGTTATTTTGTTTTATTCGTTTTCATGGTATTGCATGTTTGTGGGTTTTTTTTATGTTGTTTTTGTTGTTGTTGTTGTTTGTTTTTTATTTGGAGATAGAGCAGAAGTGTTATATTTGTCCAGTATTTGTAATCACATACTGCTCTATCAGTACTTTTTCAAAAGACTATATATTTATATGGAGATAAAGCTAGCACTTCAAGATATCCAATAATATAATTTAGAAGTTTGATTGGACAGATTTATTTGAGAGGACATCATGCAGACCTCTACACAGTGTTGAGAAAGATTGCAATCGCAACTACTCGACCCTTTCCGCCAGTCTTCGGATAAGGACTTCGAACACAATAGTATGAATACACATATAACGGATGTATTTCGGTCTAATTAACCTACGCTTAGAAACTAAACATGTAAACAAATAGTAATTTAATGCTGGGAGTTGTTTACAAGTTTATTTCCAATATATGTAGTAAAAGTCCACCTAAAATAAGTGAATTCATAGATACAAAAGCAAACAATACATTATTGATATATTTATTATTATGGTTGTAGAAACCGAAAGTACAAAAAACCAACATGTTGACATTTGGTCGGATATTTTTAAAATTGAACATCAGTGGGCATATTTAAATTACAAATTGTTGTCAGACATATATTTTCAAGCATAAGAGTACAGGAACAGACATTAGATGTCAAATATATACATTCGTTTTACATTATCTCTGTTTCTGTTTACATCTGAAACCACGTGGTAGAACTACTGTTTCCGAGGTTATTATAGATAATAGCCGAGGCAGTTCCGAATGGAAAGATTGCTGTCGGCATCCATTTTTGCGTATCAAATTGAAGCTAATTCATCGCATTTTAAGCCTTAAATCATCAGAACCAGTCTACAAAAAACATGCGCATGCTCCGCTTCAAAATACGACTTACCTTAAACGAAAAATTGTTAGAATAACTAGTTCTTGTTACGGGTTGATATTTTTCTAACACACTTTTCAAAAAATGTGAAGTGTAGAGTGTTTCCATGGTTGGAAGTTAGATATTTAACAAATCGTCGTTCAATTCGCCAAGGGGAAGTAATATAATTTTCATTTTGTAACAGCTTAGATCATTGGAAGGCTTTAACAATCATACGCGGAACTACATTTTTCATTTTTTGAAAAACATACAACTTAATGAATTACAAGACAAAACATAGACAATACTTACAATTACCCTTTTAAATCGGCCTTCCGCTCTATCTCGGAATTGCCGTTTTACCGTACACCACAATTTTGAAGTGGAGCGACAATTTGCCGGGCGTAAAATATGAGTCTGGTAACATTTCGGTGCTCAGTTACATATTACAACTATATTATAGAACCTTAAAACAGGGATATAGATGATTTATAATTCAAAAAGGGAAAGAATGACTCTGTAATATTTTGCATATGACATGCAAATGATCTAGTAGATTGTCGGATGAGGGAAGGCACTTGTACAGGTTTGATAAAAATATACTTATCTTAAGTTGTGTCCCTTTGCACATGAAATACAAATAATAATAATAATAATAATAACGTAAAAGATTATATAGAGGATATTGGATGAGTGTAAGTTTAATACTGAATTTATTTAACGAGTTGAATAAAATTATTTGCAAGTTTCTGGCGAGCATGATATTATTTTTATACAACGAGTTCAATAAATTCAATAATGAACTTACACTCATTCGATGTCCTCTATTTATCACATACCAAAAATAAAGACCGTTTAAGTAAAAAGAGTCAGTTTTCATTGACGCGCCTATAATATATAGAGGATATTGAATGAGTGTAAGTTCCATACTGAATTTATTGCACGAGTTGAATAAAATTATATTATGCGAGCCTCTGGCATAATATTATTTTATTTAACGAGTGCAATAAATTCAGTAATGCACATACACGAATTTAATATTCTATTTCTCACATACCCAAAATAAAGACCGTTTAAAATAAAATAATAAGAGTCATTTTTCATTGACGAGCCTATATATAGTATGACGCTAACATTTAACGCTCTTTACACTATGTTTGTATAACGCTAATGAAGTCACGTCAAAATATATATGCACGGTCGTGCAATACCATATTTACGGAGTCGCAAAATCGGCACGGATGTGTGATAAAACGCTAACATTTAGCCCGTTTTCGTATAACGCAAAGAACATCTCGTCAAAATATATGCACGGCCATGCAATATACCACTTTTACGGAGCGGCACGGGTATGTGAAAAATCTTTTTATTCTGTAATAATCTGTACAGTTGTTTTCTTAGCTCATTTGTAAATTATGATTAAAACCAAGGGATCATCTTGTGAAATATAATCTTATTCGAATTATTCTATGTCGATTATTATGGCAATGAACCCCACCCGAATTATTGAGTGATGGGTGAATAAACGACTGAATAAATAGAATGGATATACATGAAACGAATGAATGACTGGTGGAATGAAATGGATTAAATTTAATGAACGGGTGAATGAATGAATGAATTTAGTATGTAATCAACAATGTTTAATGACTTCTATATTTCACATCACCCTCACTTTTAATATTTCGACAGAACTTTGTTTCTTTCGGTACTATCGTTTTGACTCAGAAAATGAAAACCAGGCTAATTGGAATACACTATTTATTTTTTTTGGACTCGGGAAAAGAAAATGAGGCTAGATTAATAAAATTGGATAAAATGATGATTTTTGTTGTATGTGGTGCAAAAGCATGAACTGTATTTGGTACAAACTATATGGTATAAATACTATGAGGTTATTAAACAATGTCCTTATGTCAATGTGTGTAACATTTCTTGTTGCTTGCCACTGACGGAGTTTGGATCCACTTAGATCACTAGTACGTTTTAATATCCCGGCCACGCCGGTAAAACGTGTTAACCACTTGGTCACGCCGTCACTAAATATATGGTGGTTAAAAATAGTACTTGATTTGGAATATTGCATTTCGAGTGTGCAAGAAAGTGCTTCTCTAATCCTGCAACTTTATAAACCGAATAAATAAAGCAGTTCTTAAGGGAGTCCATTTTCCTTTATTTCGTAAAAAATAGTTTTCTCTTACTCAACCGTTTTTCTTGTCTTGTTCTTCTTCTCGTGTTAAAGCCTTATCTGTCACAAGATAGAGTTTTCGACCCTCAAGGTCAGTGAGTTTTGTTTCTTTTCATCGCCTAAGGCAGCGCGAGTAGGTGTAAATTAAAAATAGGTCTCTTATCTTTCTCTTAAATAATCGCGTACTTTTTATCATAAGAGATGTTCAACGTGGCTAAAGCTGTATTTTTCATACTTGTTATGCAAGCGACTGATTGCGATGAATCTCCAAGAAAAAGATTAGTTTTAAATTCACAAGAAGATCTTGCTCAAAGGCTTGTTAAACTGGAAGCTGAGTTTGAGGCCCATAAGAAACAAGGGGGTAAGATTTGCTTTTTTCTATCTAAATAAGTCCAGTTGTAAACAATTTAAAGAATGTTGAATATTTAAAAGATGTTCTAGAACGTACATGCGAATTGTTTAAACGATTGCTTTTCCAGGATATGAATTTTTTAAACAATTATTAGAAAGCTAGCTAGCTTGTAAAAAAGATTCACAACCAATAAAGCAGTTGCATTAAAAACAGGATTATTTTTCATTTCAGACAGTGGTTCTTTATATGTGAGATGGGGAAGAAACAAATGTCCTGCCGACAATGAACTTGTCTATACCGGTATTTCCTTTGTTGTTGTTGTTAATAATAATAAAAGAAAAATACTTTGCTTTTGAATTCATCGATGAATTTATTTAATTTTTGATGATTTTGTTCCAATTTGTTTTGTCCTAGTATAACTTGTTTGTATATGTTTCCAATATATTTTGTTCATATGACGCATGATTTTCATTAGGGCTGGGAACGAATAAGGAATTCGATGTTCGAATATTCGTTTTCCATATTCGAATAATATATTCGTTTTTACAACATTTGTTCCAATATTTCTCTTTGACGTATACGTATCCGAAATTGATTGCCTCGAATACTATACTACTTTAAAATGCTTGGAATAATCGGCGATTAAAAAGACCTTTATTGCTATGTCGAATTTTTTTTAATTTATATATTGTAAATCGAGATATATGTTTACTTTTGAAATAAATTCATAATTTGATTGCCTTTTGTTCAGTAAACCCGACCGCTGTCTTATTAACGGGAGGTAACTCACGTGACTTGACTGACAGTAATATGAATCATCGTAGCCATTATCCCCAAAGACACATTATGATATTGAAACTAAACTTGTATTAAATATTTTTTATTTACAATTTTAGATAAAGTTTAAAATATTCTTAAGATAAGTTTAGCTATAACGAGGTAAATATCACACGGAGTCTAATGTCTACGGAATAAATATATTCTGACAGAATTTAGACACTTCATATGCTTTCATAACGCGCCGAATAATGGTGCCAATTTATTCTTATTCACAAAATTTAAGACAATTATTGATTAATCGGAAAGATTTTAACACAGAAAACAATAAATAAGATAATTAAAATCGGAAAAATTTACATTATAAACTGTTCAACAGGTAAATTGCAAACTGTGAAACGGGTGCCCTTTTGATCAACTATACCCCAAAGTTTTCACAGTTAATTGGCGATAATTGTTGACACGCGTCATACAAACATTTGAACACCTGGTGAAAGAAAGGGCAAAGGTTTAATTTACGATCTGAATTGAAATTTAAAAGTAATGACAAAAAATGAAACATTTCTCCTTTTTTTCGAATATTCGTATTCGTTTTTCAATGTTCGAATATTCGGTCGTGTTTCGAATATTCGAATATTCGAATATAATTCCCAGCCCTAATTTTCATGTATCTATATTCTTTTAAGGTTATACTGCTGGAAAACACTGGAACATTGGCGGAAGCGGGACTGACAATCTGTGCCTTCCTAGGGATCCAACATGGGGTAATTATGTAGATGGTAATTTTGGCTCATACAGATCACATATTTTTGGTGCTGAAATAGATGTTGTAGAACCAAATCACATTTTTCCGTATGCAGTTCAGTATCAAGATATGCCATGCGTCGTATGTAAATCCCCACGTTCAATTTCTCTGATGGTTCCAGGAAGAAAAGACTGTTACCCTGGTTGGACAAAGGAATATTGGGGTTACCTCATGTCAGGTCATGACAACAGAGCTGGTGCGTACGATCATTTGTGTATGGACACTTACCCGGAATTTGTACCAAGCGGGGCTAACGCCAATAGCGAGCATATACTTTACCTAGTGGAAGCTCAGTGTGGCTCTTTGCCTTGCCCACCGTACGTGCAAGGAAGGGAACTTGCGTGTGCTGTTTGCTCTAAATAAAACTAAATGTTTTGTGTTTACCTGTTTGAATTTGAATAAATAGATAATTTTGGGCAAACAATAAATGTGTTCATTGATCTCATGTTCGCTATTTCCTTACAATGCTTATACAATTATGAATATCGATCATTATTCGATGATTATTTTAAACACACAATTTTTATTTGCATTTATTAGATGAATAACGGCGAAGTTGGCAAGCAAATAATGATGATATTCAAAATTAAGTCACAAATAATGCAAAAAAGACAGAAATGTCATGTTCTTCGACGGTCTTTCCGAACATTTGACATGTGCTTTGCCTAACTAGTCGTCAAAAGTAACACCACGTCCTTCTGACCTTCCTTAAAGATTAAAAAAGTAGTGGTATATGAAAAGTTTGTGGTATTTTAATTTTGGAATAGAATATGATAAATATTATATATAGGGAAAAGGAATCCCTTGCGAACGGCACAAAATTCAGAAATGAAAATATTGTACAGAGCCTTTTCATGGACGCAAGCTACCGTCCACACCCCTTTCCCCACACCCTTGAAGAGGGGTAACGAATGAAACATTGTAAATGACTTTACGTATCTTTTGTTATTACGTCAATGTTATGGATAATGAAGGATTCTAACACGACCCAGAATTTTCCCTATTGAAGAATATAGAAAAACCGAATAGAAAGTGTGTCTTAGTATGCAATAAAATCACTGTTGACGTTCTATATTTATGCATAAAAAATGCGCCACGCTGAAAAAAAGTAAGGGCAATTTAGCTTAATATCAGGCACGGCAGCATTTATTTGTTGATGTCCTGTTAGAATCGAAATAATATATCCAAATCGGTGATTTTATCGCAAGATAAAATCGCTACATAAAATCAATGTTTGGGATATATATTTTCTTAAATAACATTTATTTTTACATTTACAGCATATGTATGATAATAATGTATAATAAAGGTAAACGGCAATATTTAATATGTTGCAGGCATGGTTGAGCAAAACAGGCAAGATTCAAATTAACTGTAAAATATACATTGTTTCATATCTGTTGCTTACACAACTTTTGACATAATACTGTTCCTTAATTAATGCTCACTTGCATACATTAAATTAAAGAAAAGAAATGGCAAAATCCAGAAACGTATTTAAAGGGTCTCCACTGAATTTTGTGACATGACGGGTATGGAAATAATGTTTCGAAATTAATGTTTCATTTGATGTTGATGTCGACCAATAACTTGAGCGCAATTTTCAGATGATAAGCTTAATACGTTTTTCCGTGAATATTTATTCTAGTTTTAAAACAATTACCCAAAATTGAAAGGCATTAGAACGTTTTTCACCTACACGGCTAAGACACAAACATACAACATACGTTGGTGAAATAACTAAATATAAGAAAAATGCCAAACCATAATTGTGTTACTAAATTTATGTTGACGCTGTAATTGGGTAAACTAAGTCACCACATCCAAGCACTACAAAACCTATCGGTTTACCTGTTTAGATTTTTAGCGTATGTTAAACCAAAAGACCGTATAAGTTCTGAGTATTCATACTTTTCGAGGTCCTTATCCAGAGACTTACGGAAATGGCAAAAAATGGCGACTAAAATTTTCTGATTAAAATTCCAAAGGACAGCCTGTCGTTAACTACAATGAATTTAGTGAAGCCGTAAATAAGCCGTATATTAATTTTGGAATGTTCATATTAATCAGTTGTTTTCTTAATTTTGTAGTTACTTAATGCAGGATTTATTTTAGGTCGATTGTATAGAACACGCTCTCGGATCCATTCCGAGGACAAACCAGTGCTACACAATAAGTGAAAGGTTTTTCCTTTGACGTTATTTGAACATATGTGGCCAGCTATTCTTATAATACTAGAACGACATGTAAACCACTCTGCCATGCTACCCCTTAATATTTTGTAGAAGAAAGTTGTATGTAATTTAAAGTGTTTACCCTTCAAGTGTGCTAGAAAACCGTGTTATTTTTTCTGAAAAGAAAAAAGATGTTTTTTTCCGTACCCATAACCCTTTGTCTTGTTTCTTCTTTACTTTTAAGCTTTGTCTGTCACTAGATTTCCATTCAAGCTACGAGTTCAAGGTTTTTTTAGGTCTCGGCCATATGGTTCATTCCCGTACCTCGTAAAACCAAAATCAATGCAACTCGAACACACTGTGGTAAGGAGCAAGGAACTGAAATAAGCGGCCTAAACCACTCAGTCATGAAAAAGCTATCAGACCCATCGCATCATTTTGCAAGTATGTATATGTGACATGGAAAAGAAACCCGTGCGATATTGACAATAAGCTGGTCCATACTTGTTTTTATGTGTAACATACAGACAAATACAGAATTCAACTACAAATTTCGAAAAATAAAATTTACTAGAAAGAATATTATATTCGTAATGTTTACAAAAGAAATATTACAGCTCATTAAAACAAAACTACATTTCTTAAATGCATTTTCCTTATTTAGCATCTGTATCATCAGAATTGTAAGTACGTTATTTTCATGTGCACATGTATTTTTCCAGCCTTCGCGTAGTTTCCTATACTTAATGTAAAAGTATGTCTGATATATAACAAACTTGCATTACATGCGATTTGGTTTACACTTCTGTGATTTACTTTGATTATTTAGGATATACTCCTTGGAAAAACTTTAACCTTGCTGAAAATGGTACGACTGACATATGTCTTACTCATGACCGTATAGAGTTGGAGAATGTTGCCGAGCGCATATTTATGGTGCTAAAATTGACTTTGAAGAACAAAATCAAATATCAACTAACAAAACATGCTGCGTGTCGTCTGTCAATTTGCACGCTCGAAATCGCTCTTGATTCCAGCAAGAGATGAGTACGTGCTATTGAAGATGGACCATTATTGGGGTATTTTATGGTAGAGCTTGGGGTCATAACCGTATATGCATGGATACAAGAAAAAAAATTCAATCAGCATAGGCTACAAAAGTTTTCCCTCCTTCTATTTGTCTGTTTTTATTGTACATGTATTGTGGTTTATTCTTTTAATTCTTTGTAAACGCTCAGAAGTGATTGAGTTTATATAGATTTATGTTGTTAACATGTCTTAAAATCTACTACTTCGACATTACGATGTCCATAGTATATAACGTCCATATAAATGTAAAAGTACCATTTACCATAAGTAAAATGGTTTCCTGCGGGGAACATTTTTATTGATGTAAAGATATTTCATTTAAATATTAAATAAGAAAAAAACAACAATAACAAAAAAAGTTTTGTATCAAGAATATAGTTGACAATAATCAATCAATAGAAGAAGGTCTTTGGCGACTGATGACTGTTGAAGACCAGAGACCGGAGAAGGTCGAAAATGAAACTATTTCTTTTTAAGAAAATAATTACAGTAAATACCATTGTATGAATAATTTCGTGCAAAATATAAAGTAAACACACAAGTTTACGCAGAAAATATCTCTATTTATTATATACTTATAAATGAAATATTGAGAAATATTGATGAAATAAAATGCGTATTTTCATTTTCCGTATTTTCACTGTAAAAATTTATTTTTCACTGCAGTGAAACATATTTTCCGTATTTTCACTGGTGTCTTGCCGGACTACTTTCTTTTAAATTCTACCAGTACACAAAATTTAAGGGAAAGTTTTTCAAATTTTATCGCAAAAAAGAGAAAAATGTACATAATAAACAGAAAATTCAAGTTTTTTCTATAAATACATGATTTATTTTCATCTTGTGGCATGAAAATTACCATATTTCACTCGTGGCTACCGCCACTCATGAAATATTTATTTTCATACCACTCAATGAAAATAAATCTTGTATTTATTGAAAAAACTTGAATATCCTCTATTTATTATGGCAGATGCCACTACGAATGTTTTAATTTTGTAGATTTTCACTGTAAACAATTTATTATTTGTTAAATTTGTGTTAGATATTAAAGAAACATTGATAATTTTCAAACACATCATGCAAGTTTTTCCACCTTAAAAGGTAAAATAATTGTAGAAAATTAGAAATATCACATATTATTATATGATCTAAATATAGCTGCAATCTCATTGGTCCAAACAGTAGTCAACAGAACTTTTTATAGAATCATATTCACTGGTTGAATTGGATTTTCCCAGTCTAAAAATAGATTGAGACTCATATTCAATAACACTGTTAATTACACGTGCTTTTCAAAAAAAAATATTGTTGCGTTTTGAAATTTATGGCATATTTCTTGATTAGAATATAATAAGTTTACTATTATAGTAAAACGTTACTCAGCAATGATGAGTATAAACTTGAATAACTTTTGTATGCGCAGCGTTCCGGTAGTTGTTGCACACATTCCACGTGCGACTTTTTTCCCGCGCTTCAACGAAACCGGCAAAAGATGTACATGAATAAGGTTGTACTTTCTGTGATTTTTTTAATTCTTATAGCCTATTCATATAATATAACAATTATTGACTAGTGTGTCATTGAATATGATGTGATATTCAATGGCAGAAAGCCATATTGACCTCGCCTATCGCCTTGGTCAATATGTCATCTGCCGGTGAATATCACATCATATTCAATGGCACACTAGTCAATTATTGTATAATAGTGTTATGTTCTTAATTATGTGTAATTCGGACTAATATTCCCTACAGATAAATCCGTGACGTACCGGCAAAAGGTATTTAGCTAGGTTTTCGAGAAGGTCAATTAACCAAATGTACGGTTAATAGATCACATGCTCCTCCATGTACCGAAAACAGGTCACGTGCTCCTCCATGCCTCAAAAATTAATTGCTTACCAATACCCTGCGGGCTCCGGCCCGCATGGAATAACGTTGACATTGCTTTGTGGTCCTTTTCATTCAGTAAACTTAAAGAAGGGCGTAGGAGTATTTAAAGTAATACACGGACGTCTTTTTTCACCATTCTTGCTTGTAATTCGTCACATGACATTCAAAGTTTTCGTTAACAGCAGTTTCTTTTGATAAAAACTAATTCCGGATAATGATTTATCAATATCGTCCTTAAGTGGAGCATTTTACAACAACTTAGATTACAGA